AGACAGATTTCCCGGTGGAGAGCACAGGTAAAAATTAAGAAAAGCAGTTTTGAGACATGGAGATGGACTGACTGGTTTCAATCTATCCCCTCACAAGAGACCCAGAATAAGAGAATCGAGGTCGGGGTGCAGACCACAGGCCACATTTACGTGAAGACAAAATGCCTGGGATGTCCAGGATCGAAGATCCTTTCTGTTCTCAGACAGGAAGAACACACCAAGTGCCAAGCAGCGTCACTGAAACAACCCACACTTCACAATTATCGTAGTGAAATGTCAGGACATTAAGGACACAGTAAGGAAAGACAGATTTCCCTCACAGAAATGGCAATTCAACGGACAGCAAGCTTCTCGTCAGCAGCAAGAGCTTCCAAAGAGTCGTGTCTTTAAAATTCTGACTCGAAATAACTGCCAACGAGGAGTTCTATACCAGTTAACCCTCATTCAAGAGTGAGATCAGAAGAAAGACTTTTCATACACTTTCCGACAGGCACGTCTGTAACCGCCACACTATGCCCGTCCTGCCACGGTGGGTCATCTGGGAATCTGCTCTGAACTTCTCACCTGCCCTTAGCGTTGCGTGTGCCTCCAGAAACTAACAGCCCGTCTTCCTCCGTTTCCAAGCCTCCTGCAAGAGCCCCTGTAACCACGCAGAAAAGTATCCAGGGCAGGAGAGGAGGCACTCCGAGGGCAGGACGGAGGTGCTGAGTTGGCCAGAGTCTCCGTGTGTTAGACTTGCTCGTGGAATCCCCTGTGCCGACCCTACTCTCCCTGCCTGTTGATGGATGTGGTCTTCTAACCTACTTTTGCTTCACCAACACCCTCTTCAGCTCTAAGCTATTATTGTATTTTTTCAGATCCAGAATTCCAATTTGATTCCTGGCTGTAATTTCCAATATCGTTATTTCTTTGAACATATTAAGCCTTACCAAACTGTATTCTTGCAAATTTCATTATCTGGACCACCCACAAGTCAGTTTCTTCTTTCTCCTGTTTTTCTTGGATTTGATCACGTTCATGTTGCCTGGTGTGTGACTAACATTACACACTTTGTTTCTACGTTTTAATGTTTATTTATTCATCTGGGGGAGACGGGCAGAGAGAGAGAGAGAGAGGGAGAGAGAGAATCCCAAGCAGGCTCCTCACTGTCAGTGCAGAGCCCCACACAGGGCTCAAACCCACAAACCGTGAAATCATGACCTGAGCCGACAGAGCCACCCAGGTGCCCCGTATGTTACACATTCTAAAACCATGAAGATAACTGGAGACCTAAGATGGTATTTTCTTCCTTCTCTGGAAAGGATTGACCTCCACTTCTGGCTGGGAGCCAAAAACACAGCACCCCGGTCACACAGCTGCGGTCTGAGGCTGAGCTTCAGGCCCCATGAGGTTTGGCATTCCTCCAGGTCACTCTTGTCCTAGAGTAAGGCATTATGGAGCCCCAACCCAAAACCCCAAAACCCGGGGGTTTACTAGACCCTCTGTCTCTGCAGGGATGTCAGACTAATAACTTAATCCCTTGGGTCTTTGGTCTCTTGGGAGCTTTGCTCAGAAGCTGAGGTTTTTGTTTTGTTTTTTATAATTTTTGTAATGTTTTATTTTTGACAGAGTGCGAGCGGGGGAGGGGCGGAGGGAGGGACAGAGACTCTGAAGCAGGCTCTGCTGATAGCAGTGAGCCCATGTGGGGCTCGAACTCACCATCATGACCTGAGCCGAAGTTGGATGCTCAACTGAAGCACCCAGATGCCCCGGTAGCGGAACTTTCTAATACCTCTTCCAAATAGAAAGATGCTCACTGGGGGAAAAGTTCACCTTTCTGGAATGCTTCACTCCCTTGTTGCGGAAGGGTTGGTCATAACGACCTAGCCTGCCCTTTCTGTAGCGGAAACCGAGAGTGATCTTTCACAGCAAGGTGGATCTTATCTTAGAATCCGTGTAAAGCTCTTCAGGGGCCTTTGTAGATGATACTTTTGGCAGCCCTTCTAACAGTGTCCCCAATTTAGTTTCAGGTACTGTGGTGGCTTTGTGACGCGTCAGCTAAGTTAGCCTTAACTACCATCCCTCCTCCCCCCTCCCAACCCCTTTCCCACGGGGTTTGCTAACTGGATCACAAGAGGCATCTCGCTGAGGTTTGGCGGACGGAGGGTGAAGCCGCAGTGGTCCGGTTTTCACACGTGGGCGGTCCGGGCGGGGCCCCAGGTATGGCTGCGGCCCATCCGCTATTGCACACCTGCTAGCTCACCTCGCTGGTGGGAGGCAGGTGTGCGGTCCTGCGATGGACGGTGCCAACTTCTTCTGCAGGACGTCGCCAGGGCCGGTCCGTCCTCCCGGCTTCCTGCTTGTGCCCACGCCCGCTGTCCCCGGCAGCTTCCCCTCGGCGCCGCCTGCTCCAGCACAGCCGTGGACTAACAGCCTTCGGGGGCCGTCCAGCCAGCTCCGCGGCGCGGTAGGTCCGCCCCCTCGATCCCCGCAACGGCGCCCCCGGGGGTCCTGCGTCTGCCTGGTCGTCCGCCTGCCGCCGCCCGAGCGCCCGGCGGCAGAGGGAGTCCTGCTTGGCCCCGGCCCACGCGGGGCTCCTTGCTCCCCCGGTGGTGGTGTCCGCGTGACGGCGGCGATCCCGGGACCCTCGGAGGAGCCAGGCGGGCGCGGGGCAGAAGCGAGGTCAGGACCCCGGGGGAGGTTCGCGCGCCGAAGAGGCCCTGGAGACACTGGGCAAGGGAGGTGGGCACCTTGCCCGAGGCTCTACTCGCTCTCGCGACGCGCGAGGAATCCTCTCTGCCATCCGACTCTCCGGACCTAAAGCATGTCCCCGTGGAATGCGCCACCGCCTGCTGCCTGGGAAGAGACCGCAGGCGGGCGGGAAAATTACAACCCGCGCTGGGACGCGCCTCCGCGGCGGCGCGCGCACCGCCTGCGCGGCTGGAGGCGTGTCGCGGCAGCCTCGGGACCCCGTGGGATCTGTTCTCCTGGCGACCGCGTGGGCTGGCGGCCTGCATCGTTAACTCTGGTTCCCACGCGTGTAGCAGAGCTCACTGCTCAGAGCGCCACAAGTGGGCAAGGGTGGGGTGGGGTGGGGTGGGGGTGAAGTCATACGAGTGAGGCAGGGGCAGGGAGGCGGGGGAGGGCGCCCGCAGGTGGAGAGGAGGCAGGAGAGTGCTGCCACAGAGTGAGCTACAAGTGGAAGGAGCACCGTTGAATGAATCAAGTAAAGAGAATGTCACTGGAGTAAGAGGCAGGGGAGTGCCTAGTGGGAAGAGAAGAGCATATAGGTGAGCATTTGACGTGTCAGAGAGAGGGGAAGGGAGCACCACCAGGTAAGTGAGAATGTAGGGTCCTGCTGCAAGTGAGAGTGAGGAGGCAGGTAAGGTGGGGGGGTGGGGGGCTCATGAGGAGCAGGATAGAGGGGGACAGAGGGCTATGCCTTGCAGTGAGGAAGGGGTGGGGGAAAAGAAGCTGCAGGTGAGAAGTGGGAGGGTGAAGGAGTGAAGGGGGTTACAGCTGCAGAATGAGGGGAAGGTGCCTGGTGGGAGGCGCCATAAATTGAAGGCTTCTGCTGGGAGTGGGGCATACAGGTGAGGTCAAACATATGAGCAACAGAAAGAGCCAGTGCCTGCCACCAGCCCCTGGCCCTATCGGCTACTCCCAGGAAAACTTCTTACACCAAAGGCCTGGGTACAGAGACAAAATTAGCCCAACCAGGTCCGGTGCAGATGGGGAAACTGAGGCAGGCATGGTGGGGACGTGGCAGCTTCTTCCCAGAGTCGCTCTACCCATTTTCAGGTCCTGTTGTTTCGCTGTCGTTTTGAGACTTTTTTTCCCCTCAGGAGGATTGTAGGAGGTTGAAGCGGCCTTCACGGTGCTGATTCCCAGGAGAGGATCGATGAGGGAAGGCCCGGGGTGTCCGTGGGTCGCCCTCTCTCATTCATTGCTCAGCCTTTGGGCAGCTCCTTAACCACCCCAAGCCTCGCACTCCTCAGCACAAGCACGGGAAGGAAGTATGTGTGTGCGCTCGTGTACCAGCCAAGTGGAGCGTTAACCAGGGATCGCGTGTGAGCCCATTAGCATTCCAATGTGTGTTATTACCGCTGGATCCGTTGTTTAGAAATTACACGGGGAGGGGCACCTGGGTGGCTCAGTCGGTTTAGCGTCTGACTTGTGCTCGCGTCATGATCTCCCGGTTCGTGGGTTTGAACCCCGTGTCGGGCTCTGTGCTGACAGCTCAGAGCCTGGAGCCCTCTTCGGAGTCTGTGTCTCCCTCTCTCTCTGCCCCTCCCCTGCTCACGCTCTGTCTCAAAAATAAATAAACATTAAAAAAAAGTTAGAAATTACACGTGGAAGTGTGCTTCCCCAGAAGAGGTGCTGGTGAGCAGCAGTTCTTAAACTACTTTGGGAATATTGTTGAACAACTCAAAGTGAAGATTCTTTTCTGACAGATTTTCCCAGCACCTAACTTTGTGTTCCCCAGACCCAGTGCTGCTCCCTGAGCCGAACGGGCAGGATTCCTGGGCTCGGGGAGGTTGGTACCCGGTGGGGGGGATGGGGGGCGGGGGAGAGCTCAGAACCTCAGCAGGAGTACGCAGTGTGGACGGGGGATCCGTCCACACCACGTTTACGGGAGGAACGTATTGGCTTACAGGCCGAAACCTTCTGACGTTTTCATCCCTAATATAGCCATTCTTGTTTTGGGTCATTGTGTTTTCCAGGAGCTTAAAGTGGAATCTTGGAACTCTGTGCTGCAAAGTGAGGCTCATACGTTTAATCAGAACCTTCTTGACTTCCTGCTTTCTTCCTTCCTTCGAACTTGAGTGTCAAATTTATGATACCGTTTATGAAAAATGGTGGTTTTGTAAGCAAGTGACACTGTCGCAGATCTGCCCCATAACCACCCCGTGCCACCTGGGTGAGTGTGGCAGTGACCTAGCTGTGGCCGTGTCTCCCTCTGTGTCTCCAGGTGACTCCAGAGCGCGCAGGATGAGCAGTGGCTCCCCGACGGCTGGCAGATGGACGGAAGCGGCCCCTCCGAGCTGCCCCCTGGGGCGGCTGATCCAGAGCGCGGTGCCGGCCAAGTTAGCAGCGTGCCCGCCTCCCCTTCCGGAGAGGTTCACCAGGAGGTCAAGGGGGTCGTCCTTTCATCGGTCTTAGACTTGAGTCAACGTGGCCTTCACCATTTAGAAGAGATCTTTAAAATCCCCAACATTAAAGTAAGTGGGGCATTTCTCATTTGTGCCTCTGCCTGGTAGACATGAATGGCTTTTACTTGGAGGCCTCACCTGAGGAGAGAGATTCCAGAATGAGACAGAAGAGGGTTGACTCAGGGGCTCATGTGCGGCTCAGCACAGAGTGAGAAACTGAGGTACGGGGACGAGCCAATGCAAATACCTCGTGGAGTTGGACTGTGATATCCATCCTGTCTCCCCAGAGGCTCTTAAGCACCAAAGAGCTGGTGGTAGAAACCACTGCCCATAACACCCTTGGCCTCACGTAAAACACCGCGCCCACAGACCCCCACACAACATCGAGTCAGTTGACCACTGTTTCTCAGCCCTCTCTGCTGACATTACCCGTGGACTTTGCCCTGTGCCCAGTGTCTTCGCCAGGCCCGTGCCAGCTGGTAATCCAGGGAGCGCTGTCTCACCCCCCGTGATTTCTAGAACAAGCTTCGGTCAGAGCACAGTTTTGACGTGAGCGGGGCTCCTGCTGCCTGGTACTCCTGTAATTTCCTTAAATCTCATTCGTCTCCATCTGGAACGCGAGAGTGAGCATATTGCTGTGGGTTATTGCAAGACCTGGACCGCAGTGTCCACAGCATGGTACACGCCAGACACGCTGCACCGTTGCGGTGTGGACTGACCTTTGGGAGTGCTTTTACAAAGCTGCAGGCCCTAATCGTAAGTGGCTGCTCAAGGACTAAATCCTCTGCTGCACGTGACACGCCCTGGTTTTGCTGCCCAGGCCGCCACCGGCCTTGCCGTCCCTCCCCGAGCACCCACCTCTTGGAGTGAATTCCTGGGTCGTCAGGGCTGCTGTGTGCCCTCTGCGCGGGCACACGCTCCCAGCTGGCAGTCCGGACCCTGATGGTGCCATGAGACTGTGTTACCTCTGTGCATAAAGGAAGAAGGAGCCTGCTTTTCAAGCTTAATAAAGAAGCATCATAACTGCTTATGCCCTTCGGAAAACAGAGACGTGAATAGAGATGTTATCGCCATGGCAACCAATCACTGAAGGAGGCGGCCGCTCGGCGCCGTGGCCTTCGAGGGGTTATGGGTACACGTGCTGGCGAAACAGCCATCACCGGAGTCGCCGCGAGCACGTCCACCGCTTTCACGGCCACATGCGGTCCTGGAGCGCGGGAGGGCCCAGTTTCCCCGGGTCTCGCCGGCCCGGGAGGGAGGGTGGGCTCCTGCCAGGGTGCAATCACCTGGCTGTTCCCTCAAGCCACTGTGGTTTTGGAGTCGGGCACTTAGAAGCAGCTTGCCCTGAGACAGCGGGCCTGGGGGGCTTGGAGCCCACGCTGCAGCCTCGCGTCGAGGTGTGCACACCCCTGCCAGAGTGACCGCCAGCTCGTGTCCCCGAGACCACCCGCGGCCAGCAGGGTAACTGCCCACGGCTTGCCTGGCGGGACAGTTTGCTTTCTGTGCGCTTGTAAAGCTCCTGTCGTGACCCGTGAAGGGGCTCGGAGGACGGCCTCGGAGGCAGAGTTGGGAGTGGGGACAGCGTGGCCCGAGGGGGTGGCTGGTGCTTTCCTAGCACTCCCATGCACCCCGCATCGCTCGCTTAGCGTAGTCTGGCAGGTGGGTCCCCTGAGCCACTTCATAGGGGAGGATGCCGGAGCCCAGAGAGGTTTGGGAACTTGCTCAAAGTCACTCAGCTAATAAGGTTTTGAAATCTAGATTTGAACCCAGGAAGCGTGGCTTCCAGGCCATTCTCGTGACTTTGCACTCTGCTACCTGGGTAGGGAGGTGTGACCTACGACCTGTAACGGCCCCATCGAGGGGGTTCTTCTCCACCCACGACCGTGCTGTGCCCGACTGTGGGATTATATGTGCCCACGTGACCCAACCAGAGTCCCCGCGGCACATGCCGTCTTCAGCCTTCCCTTCCTGCTCCTTCTGACGCCTGATGGAGACTTGATGGCGCTGGGCTGGCACTTGGAGCCCTTGCTGAGGTGGTGGCGGCTGGGGTCGTGTTTGTGCACCTGCCCGTCAGAGACCGCGCCGCGGAGAGCAGCGTGGCACACCTGTCTTTTAGTTTCCTTTAATTTTCTGCTTGGGATGGGTCCCTGACCAGACTCCGCTCCTGCTGCCTGTCCACAGAGCAGAGGCCCGCGGGATGCTGAGTGCTAGGGCGCGAGGGCGGGGGCAGTGACCATGGAGCCTGAGAAGCGCTGAGCGTGGGGACCCACGAAGGAGAAAAGGGGTTTAAAACTCGGGAAGTACGTTTGGTCTGAGGGGTGTTTGTAGCAAAAGCCCCGTGTGGTGGTGGAGTCCCTGTCCAGCCCGCGAGGCGTGCGAGGGGTCCTGGTGCTTTTCTTTCCCTCTTGTCTGCTGTTTAAACTACGTAAGGATCAGTTAGTGTGAGTTTTCTTTCAATTTGGTGTGTGTGGTTGCAAAAGCTAGTGTTTGTTCTGGAGCTGCCTTGGCTAAGTCACGGCTCAAAACGTGCTTAGTTGACAGAACGTTCTCTTCTCTTCCCTGGAAGCAACTGCATCTTCAAAGAAACGCCCTCTGCGAGATTCCCGCAGACTTCTTCCAGTCGCTGCCAAACCTCGCGTGGCTGGACTTCCGCTACAACAGCATCAGAGCTCTTCCTTCTGGGATCGGGTCTCACAAGTGAGTTGCGCATTTCCAGACTTCAAGAACCATCACGTTTTCAGATGCCTGAGTGCCTGCTCTTTTGCTGCGTAGCTTCTACTCCTGGTTGAATTTTGGTTTCAGCTAGAAGCTTTTAACGCTATTTTTGAAGCCAGCTAGGAGATGCAACAAAGCACCTGACTGTAGTTATAATTTAGGGTAGGGGATGCTGGCAGCCACAGTGCCTTTGCCGGGCCATCCGTGAGGTTTTGGCAACACCTGGTTCCATCCCTGACTCTCCTCATGGGAAGCTGCCTGAAGGTCAGAAATAAGGCTGAGGAGCTACAGCCGGCCTCTGTGCTCCTGAGGACTCGTGTATATCTTTTAGTTTCTGGTAAAGAACAAGAAATGCTTTCCGTTTGGAGAGTTGGAAACCCCACATTCCTGCGGCTCTGATTCCAGGGATTTCCTAGCACCCCCGCTTCTAGAACAAATGCCTCGCCTCCCTCCCTCCTCCTCACGTGGGCTCTCCCCAGCAGCTAAGGGTCAGCTGGCACCGGCACTCCCCCGGGAGCCACGCTTTCTGGGAGCTCGGCCTACTGTCCTGACCCCGTTGCTTTTAGCACCCGCGTCTTTCCAGATCAATGTTTCTTACCCTTTTGAAAACCCGGTAACCCTTGTAGGCTGTCCTATAATGCCAGCGCTTCCTGGGCAGAGGAGAGCACGTGCGTAGGCCCTGGGAGCATGTGCCTGGTGGATGTGAGGGACGGCAGGGAGGCCAGAGAGGAACACAGGAGGCAGAAGGGGCAAGAAATGCCTTGAAAGAGGGTCAGCCCAGCTAGCAGGCCAGGGATGCAGTGTCGGATTTCATTTTGAAAGAGCTTGGGAATCACAGTGGGTTGGAATGGAGAGGGCTGCAGTTTGACTTGGCTTTGAGGTCACTCTGTAAGGGGGGGCGAGGGTGGTCGTGGAAGGCCAGTTAGGAGGCCACGCGGCCGTCCCCGCCAGAGGCGGCGGCCTGGGCCAGGCTGACAAGGCAGAGTGCCAGGTGGACTTGAGGGCCGGTGGGGTTCAGGTTGGCTCAGGGCACGGGAGGAAGAGAAGTGTCCCAGGGCGACCCCTGGTTCTTATGTGAGTAATCACGTCCGCACACGGCCGTGGTGGCCCCTCCAGGCAGCAGAGCGGGAGGCTGTAAAGGCCCTTCACTTGCCTGGAGGGTGGCTCACTGCTTGCTGAAGTGTTTTGTAAGAAGTGAGCGTTCTGTCCGTGTAACAGTGAGAGAACATGTGTGAACCTTTTGTGCCTTTTCAGGCCCCACAAGGAAGCAGCTGACTTCTGATGACAAGCTGGGGTCTCCAGCAGGGGGCAGTCAGAGCCAGGAGCCGTCTTCCTGGAGCTCTGGGGCCGTCGGGATCTGTGGGTGGTGCCGCTGGACGCACAGAACCCTGTCCCAGGCTCCAGAGCCAGGGCGGTGTGACGGTGGCTGAGGGCCGCGCCCACCGCCCACCGTGTCCCTTCCAGCTGACGACCTCGTGAGTCTTCTGAGCTGCTGGTTAGGGCAGGTTGGGAAGGAAGGCTTTGTTCTTCCCAGGGTGACTCATCTTTTGTGTTGAGGATAATTTAGTGCTTTCTGTCCCTAGACTGTGGCATTAGCACAGTTGAGGAGAGGGTTTGCTCCTCAGAGTGTAAACAAACGAAAGCCTCTTCCCAAAGCGCTGCTCTTTCTTCTAAAATAAGCACACAGTTCTCCAAGTTTGGAATTTGTTGGTTTGCCAGTCAAAGCCAGCTGCTGAATGTCGTTTAAGATATAATTTTGCATGTGATTTATAGCCCATTATATCATTAAAATTAGATCTGCTTGCCGAAGAGCTGAAACATATTAATCAGAAGTGTTAAGTAATTACGGGCTTATTAAAAACCTTAAACTTTCCAAAAGGCCTAATGAAAGCAATGCCAGTACTAATGTTCTCCCCGCTCATTGTCCTGGATGTGTAAGCTTTGCTAGCAGAGAGAGAGAGAAATTTGTACGTCAGCATACGCGCCTCCCCCGGCAAGCCACTGCGGTGTATGCGTTCCGTGGAGAATCTGTGAAACAGCCCATGGACTGACAGTGCCTAGGGGTCAACATTTACAAATTTATTATTTAACGTGTGCACGAGAATATTCAAACCTGTCATTGCATAAGGCAGGAAGACGCTTCCTTGGTGAGTGGTTGGTTCCCGCGGTCTGCGCCCCCGTGAGCAGGCAGGTGGCGGGGACATCCAGGGCACCGGCCGCCTGCTCACGGGGGCGCAGACGCGGGGTCTGTCCGTCGTGTGGGGAGCAGGCAGTGCCCCGTTCTCGGGCCGTTTCTGTACCCCACGACTGGGGCTAAACCAACCCCCGGTGGTTGAAGTGATGGCGTTGACATGACTCACTCTGCATACACTGAGAAAAGTTTGACCGATAACGTCTGTTCCTTTCAGACCTCACGTAAGTAAGGAAAACCAAGGGAGTAAATGGAAAGAAAGTCGTCTCACCCCTTGGCGATCTGATTTTCCTTTGGGGTTGCTGGTCCGGAACTTAAACTTCATTGGGCCGGAACGGGAGAACTCTCACTTGTGTGTCTGTGACGTTGCCTTTCCGCTTTCAAATCTTGGGGACCCTGACCAGTCGTGATGCTGGATTTTAATGGTTTCACCGTCCAAGGGGAGATAAGGCTTGAGATGGCCTCCCTCCACCCGCCGCGCGGATTCACACGCGGGGTCTGTAGGTGCGTTCGGCCGCTGGCCTCCTCTCTGGCGGGAGGGCCGAAGGCGCGGACGCAGGGTGGACGGCTCTCCAGCCCCGTGGTCACCCTGCTGCTTTCCTGGGGCCGCTGAGGGCTCGGCGACTCCCGGGCCCGCGATAGAGGAGGAGGCGGGTGGGGGCTTTTCTCCAGGCGGTTGTGAGGGCGACCCCGTCGTGGCCGGCGGCCATCCCCGCACGGTCAGCAGCCCCGTGTGCCCGGGACTCCGGCCGGCCGGCCGTGTGCTGCAGCAAAGGTGTGGAGATTGAATACTATGGCCGACTTGACAGTTCTCCAGACGTCGCTCGGCGAAGCCCGGGGTGACACGGATGCAGGGGGAGGGGTCCCGCCCTCGTCCCGGGTGCCCGTCCCCGAGCCTGGAAACATGAGCCGGGGTGTTTGTGGTCTTTTTATGCCAGATTTCAGCTGCTGGTCCCTAAAAAGTGAAGGAGAGAAAGAAATTGATCCCTAGTGTATGATGAGTCTTCAGAATTCCACGGGAGGGGCGCCGGGGTCAGTCAGCAGAGCGCCTGACCCGTGATTTCAGCTCAGGTCATGGTCTCACAGTTCGTGGTTTGGGCCCCACATTGGGCTCTGCACTGACAGATTCTCTCTCTCCCTCTCTTAAAATAAATAAACCTTTAAAAAAAAAAAAAGAATGATGTGTGTAAAACAAAAGAAGCACAGTATGGTAAAAGGGGGAAGATAGAATTTAAGGTGAAATACTCCTTTTTTCCTATCATTCAATCAGTAACTTTTTAGTGTTGCTAAAAAGTGTTACTTTCTCGTGCTCCTTCTCTCCTCTCTCTCCATGGCTAGTTGGTGAGAGATTTTGCAGGGGTGTTAGGTGTTCCACGAAGGAAGGGGTCTGGAGCCCGGTGCAGGGAGAAATGCCCCGATGCCACACTTCCTCGTCTGAGACTACGGATTCTCCCTCCCCAGCCGGACAGCGTGCCGCGCCGCAGCGGGCTCCCGGCACTTCGAGCGGGGAGGACTTGCTGGCGGAGCGCCTTAGGGTGCGAGGCCTCCTCACAGCATGCCTCAGGAGACGCGGGCAGGAGTCCCGTCCCCCTGCAGGGCGGCGGTGCCCTCGGTTCCGCGGCTGTCACCGCTCGGGGAGGGTCCCGCTGGCACTCGTGGGTAGAGACAAGGAGGCAGCTGGACGCCCCGCAGGACGGGCCGCCTGACCGAGAGTCGCCTGGCCCCAAGCGTCAGTTTGCCGACGGGGGAGCCTGGCCCATGCTGAAACGGGGGCCACACGCGGGGCACGCCATAAATGAGTGTGCCCACGCTGAAGCTGACTCCAGGGAGAGGAGGTAGAGGAGGAAATTTGACGGTGTCTTTTAGGGACGGTCATTTGATTTTCTGCTTTTTAAACTATGTATTTTTTGTTTTATTTTAAAGGCATTTGAAAACTTTGCTTTTAGAAAGAAATCCTATCAAAATGTTACCTGTGGAGCTGGGTAAGTATTCAAGCAATACCGTAAAAGCTGGCTGTGAAATGCTGCCTTTTTGAGTTAGCGGAACCCGTAGTGGACGTATCAGGCGAGTCGCGGGGGCCAGCTGGCTACTATTTACAGTTGCTTCCACTGTGTCCCTCGGGGCCCCAGACCCTGCGGCTCCCAAGAGCTGTTATGCGGGGACCTGCGTTCTTCGTAGAAAGTGTGGCGTGTAAACACGGGGGGAGAAAGAAGAAGGATGTGGCGCTTTGTAGCCAGCGCACAGCTCAGGAAAGCTGGCGTCACACTGCAACTCCCGAGCCCCGGTCCGGTCCGGTGCCCGCTGCACCCTGTCCCTCCCGGGGGGCCCGCGGGTCCGGACTCGCCCTCCCCTCGCTTTCCTGGAGGGCTCTGCCACTGACGGCTCTCAGACGATGTCTGTTTCAAGGACCCTCCTTTTGTGTTTTTTGTTTTTTGTTTTTAATAGGAACTTTATTGTCACATCGGTTTCCAGGCAACACCCGGTGCTCCTCCCAACAGGGGCCCTCCTCACTGCCCATCCCCCACCCAGGACCCTCCTTTTGAACCGTCTCTAAGTTGAAGCCTCCCGATGAGCTGTCCTGGAGACTTGCAGTTTGGGCTCAGCACTGCGGTCTTGGGGTGGATCTGCAGGGACACGTATGAGGGCGTTGCCTTCACTTTTACTCACTTTCCTTGCTGTGAATGACGAGGAGGAGGAAGCAGAAGACGATGTTCTCCTTTCCGCATCTGTTTCGTTTCGTCTCATACTTCTGCTCTTTACTGTCTTTGTTTCTTTAGGTTTAACTTGCTGTTCTTTCTCTAACCTGTTGAGTTGGAGGCTTAGATCGCTGGTTTTCAACCTTTCTTTTCTAACCTATGCTGTGACAACTGTGATTTCCCCCAAGTGCTGCCGTGGCTGCTCCCACGAGCCCCAAAACGCGGCATCTCCGGGTGTTTTCCGACGTGAACCTTGTCAGGTGCTTACTGGCCATTCAGGACGGACTAGTGTGGCCGCTGCCACCTTCTTCTGTCTACTCTTTACGTGATGCGTTTTTCCACTCTCTTACTTCGAACCTCTCCGCTGCACGCAGCCTCTCCGTTGCATGGCTGGTAGGCAGTATGTAGCAGGGTCTTGCTCTTCCGTCCAGTCAGACTATCTCTGCCTTTTAATGGAAGTGGTTAGACTGGTTAATTTAATATAATCATTGACATGAACGGATTTAGGGCTGTCGTTTTACTCTTTGCTGTTTGTCTCAATGCTTTTTTTCTGTTCCAATAACTGCATGTTGATTGGGTATTACTTAGACTTCTATTCTAACTTTTATATTGACTTTTTAGTTATTCTTCTTAACATGCCTTTACCGCCTCACGGTTGCTGTCGGGGTTACACCACGCATGCTTCGAGCTAGCGCTGTCCTGTGTCACCACCTGATGTCACCACCTGATAGCCATACCGGCCTGCTCTCTCCGGTCCTCCTAATACTCAGCCTGTCCTACAGATGAGGTCTACCTATGTTATAAACCTGCAACACAGACTTACAGTTTTGGCTTTCAGCGGTCACGTATTTTTAGAGAAACTAAGAGAAAAAAGTATTTTATATTTGCTTAACGTGTAGCATTCCAGGTAGACATCTCTTCACTCTTTCCTGAAGATACAGCTGGTATCCTTTTCCTTCAGCCTGAAGAACTTCTCTTCAGATTTCTTAAAATCAGTCTGTTGGCAGACTTTTAGTTGTTATGTTTCTGGAAATGTCTTCATTTTGCCTTCTTTTTTGATGTAAATAATTTTTTTAAGTTTATTTATTTTGAGAGAGAGGGAACATGGGGGAGGGGCACACAGAGGGAAAGATAGAGAATCCCAAGCAGGCTCTGCACCATCAGCACAGAGCCCAACGCGGGGCTCGAACCCATAAACTGTGAGATCATGACCTGAGCCAAAATCAAGAGTCAGTTAATAGACTGAGCCACCCAGGCACCCCTTGCCTTGATTCTCAAAGGATATTGTTGATTAAAAATAGTGGTTGAATTTGTTTCATCCAGGACTTAAAAGAAGTTCCACTGCCCTCAGGCCTCTGAGGTCACTCACTCTTCGTCCTCCTTTATGAACTGTGTCCATTGGCCTTGGTTACTTTCAAGATTTCTCTGTATCTTTGCTTTTCAGTGCTTTGACTCTGAGGTCCTTAGCTGTGGTTTTCTTTATATTTTTCCTACTAGGTGTTTGTTAAACTTACCCAGTTTTGAAATTCACATCTTTTTGCCAAATTTGAGAAAGATTTTGGTCATTAACTCTTCAAATATTTTTCTGTTCCTGTCTCTATTTATTTGTCCAACCTTTTTTTATTGTCCTACAGATTACTGAGCTTCTGTACATTTTAAAAAGGTAATTTTTCTGCTCTTCAGAGAAGATAGATCGGTATCTTCAAGTTCATGCATCTTTTTCTGTCATCTCTAATTGGCTGTGAAAACCGTCTAGTAATTTTTTTTCAGATACTGTGTTTTCAGTCCTTGGATTTTCATATTAAAAAAATAGTTTCTACTTTTCTGTGCAGAGTTCTTTTGTTTCATTTAGTATAAACAAATTTTTCCTTTAATAATTTTTTGGATTATATCTTGGACGTTGTGGTAGATACACTGTGGAGATTCTGGGTTCTGTTATCTTCCTCTTTAGAGTACTGGTTTTTAAAAATAGGTAAGTTGAGGGGCACCTGGGTGGCTCACTTGGTTAAGTGTCCAACTCTTGGTTTCGGCTCAGGTCATGATCTCACGGTTTCATGAGTTCGAACCCCACATCGGGCTCCAAGGTGACAGTGCAGAGCCTGCTTGGGATTCTCTGTCTCTCTCTCTGTCTCTCTCTGCTCCTCCCCCATTTGCACTGTCTCTGCCTCTTTCAAAATAAATAAATAAACTTAAAAAAAAATTTTTTTTTTAATAGCTAAGTTGAGAGAACCCGGACTCCCGACTGTCTCTGGCATCGGGCAGCAGGTGCGGCCGTGCTGTGTGCGGGAAGTTCAGGACTGTGCCAGGGATTTGCACGTGGGCCGTCTGCACGGCGATGTAGGGCCCCCCTTGGCGGTCCTCTTCTGTCTGGAGTGCACCCCTTCGCTTTCTGGCTGGTGCAGTAGCTCTGTGGTCTGTCCTCTGGCGCTACAAGGTCACATAGGTTTCTGTCTGTTACAGCTGCCCCGCGTGGGGCCCTCTGGGGCCTTCCGTCAGGCAGAAAGCCATACAGATGGTACAGGCGTTTGTGTCTTTCTCTTCTGGAAGCTGTCATTTCCCCTCTAGTTTCTGCCTGCTTTTCATTTCTGGCTTGCCCACGGGTGGTGTATATTCTGCCCAGTTTCTGCAGACTGGTTATCTGCAGGGAGTTGATCAGATTGGAGCTACGCCAACATTGCGGGAAGCAGAGTTTTCACTGTACTGTTTGTAGCATCACTTAGTGGTTCTCTAGACACTATGCCGTCCATCCTTGACGGATGACCGTCGGCTGAAGTCAGACTTTCACCACTTTTAGTTCCATTGCCTCCTTCCTGCCTTTTGTGCTGTTTTCATAGATTTTGCTTTTACGTCTTGTTATAAATCCCACAAACTCATCTTAAACTGTCAGTATTTATTTATATTTTCTTACATCTTACATTTAACCTTCGTTTCTCAAGTTGCCCGCTTTCACCCAGGATGACCATCGTGGCCTGAAGATCTCCCTTTAGTATTATCATTTCCTCTTTGGTAATGAATTCTTCAAGTTTGGTTTTCTAAAAAGTCATCTTTATTTTCCATCCTATTTGGAGGCTGTCTGGCTGAGTAGAGAACCCAGGTTTCAGAGATGTGTTCACTACTTTGAAAATGTCTTTATCGTCTTCTGGCTTCTAACTCCTGCTGAAAAGCCAGCTGTCAGTCTTACTGTTTTTCCTTTAAAACCGATGAATCTTTTTTCAGCTGGCTGCTTAAAACTCCTCTCTTTGTGTTTAATTTTCAGCAGTTTACCTGCGGTGTGCCTGGGCGCATCTCTCTTTGCATCCGCTTTATTTGGGGTTCACCGAGCTTCTGGAACCTTTAGCGGGGTCTTTAATCAGAGCTGGACAACCCCTGGCTATTGACATTCTTTCTGCAGACCTTGCTTCCTTCACATCCTTTCTTCTCTCCTCCTGGGCCGCCCTTCGGTGGGTGTCGGCATCTCCACTCTGTCCTGCGGGCCTCGAGTCTGCCCTTCTTTTCCCGTCCCCTCTCGTCTCTGCTCCAGATCCTGCTACTTTGCGTTCGCCGGCCTTGCGGCTCACGGGTTCTGTCCTCTGCTACTGTACTCTCTCCCTCCGTCCAGGGGCGGTCAGCTGGACTTGAAACTGTGCGAACGGCGGGGGAGACGTGGAGTCCCTGAGCCGGGTCACCGACTGCCGCCGGGCAGCTCGGGCGATCCGACAGCTGCCTCTCGCCCGTGTTCCCGCAGGGCCATCTGGGTGGGCTCAGGGCGCTTGACCCACAGGCGTCTTCTGTCAGCATGCTAGCGTGCCGTTCACTGGGCTCTGGCCTCCACTGTTTGACCCGGAAGTTACCCCTGTGCCCGTGTGTGTGATGGTTTGTTGCTCCTTTGTGCTTTTCAAGCTCGTTTCTCTGCGTCTTCGTGACTCTGATGTTTCCAGGCGTGACTGCCTTTGGCGGTCACCTACTTGGGGTGAACTTCTGGACAGTACCCTGGCGTCTGTCAGCGAGCAGGGGGCACGCGCGCCGTGGTTTCCTCAGAGAGCGTGCCAGGCCCCGCTCGGGTCCTCCGTGGCTCTCGTTCCGGGCGTGTGCACCAGCGTACGTGAGGCCGTCCCGCGGGCCTCCGGAGTTCTCCCCATCTCATGGCGTTTCTCTCGCATCATCAAGCTCACTTGTGTCCCCTGCCGTCTCGTGTCTGCTGCCGGGTCCCTCTAGAGAACTTTCCGCCCCGGTCTTTGCAATTTCAACTCGAGAACCGCTAGCTGGTTCTTTTCTTATAATTTCTGGTTCTGTCGACATTTCATCCCTGTTGAGTCATCTTACCATAGTTTTCTGTAATTATTTAAACATGGCTTCCTTCGTGGCTTTGAACATACTTGTGACTGCTTGGAATTTTTTGTTCGCTAAATCCAACATCTGAGCTGCTTGGGGACAGTTTCTAGTGACGCTTGTTTCCTGAGTATGGGTCACGTTGTCCTCCCCGAGCTTTGTTGCATTTCAGATGATACAGCAATTTCGTATTCTGGTTTTTGCCTCAGGGCTGTTACCGTCTCTTCTGTTCGCTCTATTTCATTTATTTCCTTTTGCGACTCGCCTGGTCTTCACCTGTGCGATCTGCCTCCGCTGCAGAGTTGTTTGGTTTTTTTTACAGCATTTTACAGCAAATGATACATCTGTCGTATCATTTTCCCCCAAATTCCCAATAGGATCTTTAATCTTTCCTCCTTGTTTCATTCCGTGGAGGAGTGTGTGAAGGTATGGTTTCCTCTCTCACAGGGAACGTGACCACACTGAGAGCCTTGAACCTGAGACACTGCCCCCTGGAGTTCCCCGCCCCCCTCGTCGTGCAGAAGGGACTGGGTGCCATCCTGGCCTTCCTGCAGGCCTGCACCATGCAGCGGCCTCCTCCCTGAGGGTCAGCTTCTCCAGGTTGGTGGGACCGTCACTGCACCAAACTGCATTAGAACTGAAGTCGCTGCTTGTTAAAACCAGGACCCGGGGAGTCTGTCTCCTCAGTGGCGTCACGGGGAGCACGCTGGGCCTCCCGTGGCCTCTGCTGGACTCACACCGCGATCGGGGGTCCGTGCCGGCCTGTCGGAGCTGTGTCTTTCCTCGGTTCTGTGTTCATGGGTCTGCGCTCTCCGCGCCCCTTGCAGAGCCCGTCTAGGGTGGGATCTGGTAAAAGTTCACTGGGTAAATCGAATGAAACTCCTCACCAGCAAGCTTCACCAGGCACCTGCTTCAGGAAATTCCCTCGGCCCGTCTGACAACTATTTCACAACAGGAGCAGTGACAGTGACGAGTGACAGTGACGAGTAAGTGCCCTTACTCGTGGGCAGGGGGCCGTGGCCGTGCCACTTTTTGGGCGCAGGCTCACTCAACATTTGATCCTGTGTTTTCAACGTGCGGACCATCCAGCCAGGCGTTCTCACGTGCTCACGAGATAATCTAACCGGGAAGGAGCACTGTGGTTCCACTCAGACAAAGTAGACGTAAAAGAGAATTGTGACTGAATGCTCACGAAAAAAGTGAGTGCTCTGAAAATTTACTTCAGAGCGTCGAAATCTTTACTGCTTAAACACAGCTCCTAGATTAAGAAAACGCCTAGACTTGAAGCAGCCATGATAGTTACACATGTGATAAAGTCAGCGTGTGTGAATTACTAAGTCCGTCTCAGTAAACATAAGGAATGGCCAAAGTAATTAGGAAGTGCTGATCTTTTTCCCAAATCCAAACAAATGACCCCAGAATGTGTCATCGTAAACACCGATTGTATTTGCAAAGTGTCTTAGTTTGTGTCCCCCAACAGCAGTTCCTGAGTCAGGATGCAAGGGCCAGTAACTGATTCCAGAGACGATCCAGGCGGCAGCATGGAGGCTGAAGCGGGGGACGTGGGGAAGGGGAGGAGGCCAACAGAGGTGGGAAGCCCCCACTGGGCCTCAGCAGTCACAGCCCCTCGGGTGCTGCCCCCACGGACCGGGTCAGGACCTGGGTCTCACAAGGCCTCAGCAGTCACAGGGTTCCCGCTTGGACACAGGCCCAGGGGTTACTGCACAGCAGAGTGGGGGAGTAGGGCACACGGGCTCCAGACCAGCAATGCCTCGCCAAACGGAGGGGCGCACAGTCCCCAGCCCTGCACGCTGGCCCTCGTGGGCTGGAGGAAACAGCCAGGCGCAGATGTGCAGGTGCTGGTAGGAGGGGAGTCTGGCAAACCCCGGGATGGCGAGGGCCCAGGGCACGAGGAGGGCGCCCACAGCTCCGTGCCTCTGCCTCGTCTACTGCCTGCCTGCTGCTGCAAACCGCGAACACCCTGGTTTCCCAAAGAATATACTGGCTTCGTCTCTTAATGACGGATCAGAATCCAGGGTCATTTCTCAGAAAGGATGGCCAGATGCAAAGTGTCTGTGTTCCGAGTTTGAACCTAAAGCCAAAAAGTAGTCTGTGTCAGCTCGACCTGTGACCCCACTCTGCCTTGGTGGGGGCGGGGGCAGGAGGTGGGGGCTGCTCGTCCACGAGGGGACAGTGGAGCGTAATCCTAAAGGCAAGAGTGTTCCTGGCGAGCTTCCTTTCAAGTAACTTACCTGGAGAGGACAGTGTTTAGGGTCGACAGCGATCTTGCTAAGCATACACAGTAGGCACCTGGGCCAAGAATTAATTAGAAATAAAGCTATTACAAGATCGAGGCTGGCGGAACAGAAAAGTGTGCTTTATCTGTATAAATAGACGTGGAGTGGAAGGGCCGGAGGGTGGAGGGAGCCGGTCACCAGGGTCGTGTGGCTCCGGGGGGCCGTGTAGAGGTGCAGCCGGCCAGCAGCACTGCGTCTACTGGTGACTTGACCAGCTGCCGCGACGCACCCAACGGAGCCCCCACCCCCCCCCCGTTGTGTTTGTCTGCAGAGTGTGTGGCCGACAAAGACGCTGTTAATTCTCAGGATCGGAGGGGGAGGTTAAAAGAAAAGGCAGACTTTCTCCCTCCTGTTGAAAAGCTAGGCCTGAGTGAGCTGGGCAAGTCCACTGCCTCCCCAGAAGACTGGCCGGGCAAGGAGGAAATCAGGCGCTTTTGGAGGCTGAGGCAGGAGATTGTCGGGAAGGAGCGGGAGGAAGTGCTTGCAAAGCAGCTCTTACCGGCAGAGTTACCTGCAAACCTCAAGGCGGCTCTGAACACGAAGGAGAAAGAACATTCCGGCTCCAGACACGCTCTCAGGTAAAATTTAAAAGCCGGGGTGTATTTTCTTGATCTTGCCAACATTGTAATACCATTTTTCGTGATCTTTTAAAACGTCAGGTAGATGTCTGTGCCCTGTCGGCATTTGTCATGTGGTGGATGCTTGCCTGGTTTGGGATTACAGTTACCCAGAAACTCAGACCCTGTGCGTGTGCGTGTGCGTGTGCACCCATGCGTGTGGATGGAGGGACAAAGAAAGAGAACGTTTACTGGTGAATATAGCTCATACACTCACACGAGGGGGCGGTACCATTCCAGGGGGACAGAAATCGGCCCCTGGGGAGCACAGAATCCCAGCGGTTACTGTGGTTTGTGGCGCTGCGCGGCACAGCCCCCACGGACGGCAGGGATGCGTGTCCAGTGGTCCGCGGTGTCTGTGGCCCCGCTCCGTGGGGGGGCTGTTAGGAAAAGTAAGTCTGAAAGGCTGGGGTCCGGCTGATGGAAAACTTCCTTCCCCGTGAAAGGTGTTCGGGGGCTCATTGTGCCGTTCTTTCTCCCGTCCTGGGGTTTGAAAACTCTCGGGAGAAAACCAAAGTGTTGTCGACCGATTCCAACCTGGGAGGCGCTGGGGGTGGGCAGTGTGGGTGTCTAGCTGCAGCCAGCTCAGCACTGAGTTCCCGGGTCCTGACCCCCACCCCCGCCCTCCCTCAGTTCCCCCGTCTCGTTATGGACAAGGAGGAGGCC